ATTATAAGCGTTACGACTGCTTCACTTTTCCATTTCAAATATCCTTTGAAAAACGCTAATCAACTAAGGTGATCATCATCAGTAGATTTGATACTTTGTCTCTAACTCGAGTCTTCCTATTTCACTTATTGGAAGGAATTATAGATTAGAAAACGATTCCAGAAAGCATCATCATATTGCCGCTTTTTTCTAGAGAAACGCAGATAGTAAGTTTCTCTGAGACGAAGATTATTGCGTTTTCTCTTAGTTTTTTCATATGTCAATAAAACAACAATTTCACGAGCTAGTTTCTACAAATTGTTGTTACGCATTGTTACTTATTGCTGAAAGATCAACTTTATCTTGTTCAATTTTCTAGAATCATTTCTTCTATTATTTTTGATGGTACTCTTTCACGTCACTAAATGAAAACAACAGCTTATCCTTGATTTCTTTTTCTCTATCTCATCGATATATTCTTGAATATAATAGAAATACGAAAGAATCAGAGAAAATACAACTCAATTCTCATAGGACATTACGAAAGTAAATATTTCTTCTCAACGGTACATAACTCTACATTTTCTCACTTAATGCTACCGGTAAAGGAATGTAAGTAGTATGCATATTCCATCTCTATCTTTTTTCGTTCTGATATCAAGTTTGAATACGTATATATCTTCTTTTCTACTGTAGTATGTTCAGGTACATTCGTTTTCTTTTTCAATCTTTCTTTTTGATTCATGCATGTTCTCACATATTTTCTAGTGATTTATTTCTGTCACCGTTCTTTCAAGCTGTAAAACTTTGTATACATGTCATAAAATAATAGTTTTATCTGACTAATAACTGATCAGTAGTTGATCATTTTCACAAAGTGGACAAATAGTAAGCACATTTCTATTTTAACATAGTTCACATATCACGATAATAAAAATGTGTTATAATTATTAAACTTAACATCACACAAATTGTTCTGTAATTCACTATCTTCAATCAGGTCTGATAAAGAACACATTTTATTTAATCTCTATGGAAAGTGTACCTCAAATACTCGAAACGGAAACCATATTGGATGATGATAATGAATAGGAAGAGCAAGATTCCAAAAATCCATTCACATTAGCATCAGCATACCCCATTTAGTTGAATGTTTCTCTTCCAGAAACTCACTCACCTACGCCTATATCCTACCTTTTCAATCTATGATAAAGTACGCCTGGCTAAAAAAAAATCTTTTTTTGAAAATTGATTCTGGCCCATTTTAGAATGTTAAAGATACTTGCTTCAAATTTCAAACAGACAGATGTCATGAAAAGAGTTGCATTGATGGGCCAATGATTCATTGTTCTTGGTGCAACAAGAACGTGATTCACTCTTTTTTCAAATTATAATCATCATTAGACTGATCAACTCTTTTCTTGATTTTTTATTTTATTCTCATTCTTCGTATCATTGTAATTTTCTTATTAAGAAAAACGTTAGGTAAAGATCGTCTTTTTTTATACGATAAGCAGCAAGGTGTAAGATGAGTTTGTAAGAAGTTAGCTCGTGAAAATATTCCTTTATTGAGATATAGCTAATACTACGAATTCTTTTGGATTTTTTTCTATTCTATGAATTCTACTAACGAGAAAACTTTAAGCTCAAAGAACAGGTATTTATGAGTATGACTTTCATATTACTAAGGTTGCCAGTCAGTGGTAAGTACTACTTGCTAGTGAGGGCATATTGGTCAGTTTGATTTTTGTCTCAAACAAAGCCTATTTGATGAACTTTGATCTAAAGTGTTCGAAATCATGAAATCCAGAGGAAGAGCACATAAGAAAACGAATTTGCCTACATCAGAATTTTCGAAACAAGTCTATAACAGCTGAGGTAGATTAAATGGCTACACTTTGAATTTCAATTTTCAATTACTTAATATCAGGTTACATTTGCTTTGAAAATGGACAAGACTTTGAGCGACTGAATTTCGACCGTGAGAAAACTTGTCGCACAAAATTTTATTGCTTTCGAAAACAAATACAATAAGCTTTACTGTGTAAATTGTGTAGCTTTTCACGGTGCATCTAGTAGTATATTTTGTTTTTTCAACTAAAAACTATCAGATGATAAAAGAAATGAAATAAGAAAAAACGAATTCATCTTGTACAAAAAAAATCTCGTTTTCGCATGGTCGAAATTAGGTCTCTCGAAATTCTGTGCATTTTGAAAGAAAAAAGTACAACACAACGTATTAAGTGAGTAAAGATTATAATGCAAAGTTTAGTCATCTAATTTGCCTCATACGTTATTTCGATGCAGAATGAGACAGCGAATCATTGGACACCGCATTTCATCTGTTAAGAAAGCCAATCAATGTTTCCTAGTCCAGATTAATAGACCATATTGTCACTGCACCCAAACGGCTATATCCAACAATAAAATAACTAGAAGCTGAATTTACGATGAACTAATAGTGTTTCTATAGGGTTTGATGCAGTTTTTGACGGTCTAACCGTTGGGGTAGTTTTCTTCTAGTTATTTTATTAGCTAAAGCCTTTCAAGGTTTGATCGTACCTAAAACTGCAACCATATGTGCTGCCATTTCAAAAGAACATATGGTATTCATATTAACGAAACAGAAGCCGATTATGTGGTTTTCTGGAATCGATCTAGGATAATTAGTGGAAGTTTCTCATCTGTATAATTATGATATCCACAAGAAAACTTTACCATCGTGCAGTCCGTCAAAAACTGCATCAAGCTTTGAAGAGGACAGTCCATCATAAAGCTGTCTCCAAAGCAATTAAGAATCCAAAACCTTCCTGACATACCCGAAATATCGATAAAAAAACTATTATCTTTCCATAAATTCAGCTTTTCTGCTGAGAATTTGTAGATAATTGACTCGTCTTTCCAATAAGACTATTTATAGGCAGGAGAATAAATGTTTTCACAAAGTTATTGTTAGTGTACAGTCATCTGACTGCAGTAAAAATATAGGATTGTAATCTGCCTCAAAAGCTATTGAATTGTTTTTCAAGTAGATGATCTGTCTTTTTATGCGTCTTTCTCATTTGTTCGTAGCTTTTCGAAATGTGTAATATTAAGCTTTTTTCTCTGGAAGGACTATATCTCGAAAATAACGATACTACAAACTTTGAGAAACTATGAATGAGTTCACATTTCTCAACTCCAAAGTCATTTGATGAAACTTGAAATACAGTGTTATTTTCGTAAAATAAGTTTCTTTGGAGCGAAAAATTAAACTGACACATTTTCCATTATCAAATAAGATGACCTGTCCGTAATATTAATTCGCCGTTTCAGCCGTCTAACCAAATAAAAAGCACTTATCAATTACCCGAAACCATCATATAGCTATACAGGTCATATTGTAACATTGGAGTATGATCACGATGTTCAACATTAGAAATCAATCATCACTCAACTCCTCAGGTGATAACTACTAATAAGTTGTCAGTTTTCTATTCATTGCGTAATCTCGAACAGTCGTAAAAAAACTTATTATATTCTAATTGTTGTTGTTAATTAACAATGCGTGATATTCATGACGCGATGACAAGAGTTTTGCAACACGAACATACTGACATTCATTTGATTTCGAAACGGTCCGAAAATATCATCATTATATTCTAATTGTAGCTAATGGCATGTCCTTCAAGAATCAGTAAGAGAGAAACGAATGCAGTTTTGAATTCTTAGTTAGGAAAAGTTCATAGTTCGTTTTGTCATCATGTTAGCTACTGTCTCTGTTCTTCCTCAGTCACTATGAGTTTCGCGAGACTCAACGAGGTTCTATTGAAAAGTGCTGGTTCTCATTCAGATTTGTTTGTAATGTTCTGACTATTCTCAATAGAAAATCATCAGAATTATCGAAATCTGATACGGTCCATTAGACATAGTTCAATCATAGTAACTGATCAGTCTTTATTTCTTTGTTCTTGCGTTACTTAGTTCCAAAATGTAAACTTAATTTTAAAGCAACTGCCCAAAATCCACTTAACTATAAGTATGGTCCACGAGCTGTTGCCATGGCAGACTTCAACAACGATACCTCGCTAGATATTGTTGTTGCCAATTATGCTGCTGACAATATAGCTATATATTTTGGACATGGCAATGGCACTGTGGCAAGCCCAATCATGTTTTCAACTGGTTATGGCTCTGCTCCGTACATGATTGCTGTTGGCGATTTCGACAACGATCATCGACTGGATGTCGTCGTCGCCAATTTCGGTACAAATAGCATCGGTGTACTCCTCAGATTCCAAAATGGGTCTTTTGCAAACAAAACAGTTCTATCAACTGCATCATCTCGTCCTGTTTGGATTCATGTAGCAGATCTTAACAATGATGCAGCATTAGATATTATCACTGCTAACAACGGCACACACAGTGTAAGTGTATTTTATGGATATGGCAATGGAAGCTTTACAACGCCAAGCACGTACTCTACGGACTATGATTCTTTCCCGTGTGCGGTTGTCAGTGGCGACTTCAACAATGACAAGCAGATGGATCTTGCTATCGCCAATTATGGTACCAACAATGTTGGTATCATGCTTGGGGCTACTAACGGCACTTTCGCAAGGCAAAGCACGTTCTCAACTGGTCTTAATTCCCATCCTTACTCGATTGTCGTTGGTTACTTAAACGAAGACACCATGCTAGATATTGCGGTTACCAATCATGGAAATAACAGTGTGGGTATACTTCTGGGTCACGGTAACGGAACTTTTATGAGCCAGGTGACGTATTCCCTCGGTGTTGCTTCTCCATATGCTATTGGGATTGGTGACTTCAACAATGACAATCGAATGGATTTAGTTGTAACCAATAATGACACTTACAATATAGCTCTACTTGTTGGATATGGCAACGGTACCTTTGCAAGCGCAAAAATGTATTCAACTAGATCTTCTTCATCAATCTCCATTGCCATAGGTGATTTAAACAAAGACAATCGTTCAGACATTGCCTTCATCAACAATGATACGAGCACCATAGGCATCATGCTTGGCTATGACGAATTTTTTCCTATTCAAACGAAATATGCAACTGGCACTTCACCGTACTCAGTAGCTGTTGGTGATTTCAACCACGACACACGACTAGATATTGTAGTTGGTAATAGGGATAGCAACACTGTAGGTGTACTTTTGGGATATGGAAATGGTTCTTTCGCTGATCAGATGACATATTCAACTGGCTCTTACCCACACTCTGTAGCTGTGGGTGATTTTAACAACGACAACCATCTGGATATCGTCGTCGCTAATAGACATGACAACAGTATAAGTGTTCTTCTCGGATATGGTGATGGCTCCTTTGCAAATCAAACGACACTTTCAACTGGCTCTACGCCACGAGCTGTAGCTGTTGGTGATTTTAACAACGACACTTATCTGGATATCGTCGTCGCTAATGCTGGTGACAATATTCTCAGTGTACTTCTCGGATACGGTAATGGCTCTTTTGCAAATCAAACGACATATTCCACTGGCTCTTGGCCAGTCCCTGTAGCTGTTGGTGATTTTAACAACGACACTCAACTGGATAGCGTCGTCGCTAATTTTGATGACAACACTATTAGTGTACTTATCGGATATGGTAATGGCTCTTTCGCGAATCAAACGAAATATTCAACTGGCTCTGCCCCAATAGCTGTAGCTGTTGGTGATTTTAATAATGACAGCCAACTGGATATCGTCGTTGTTAATCGGGATGACAACACTGTAAGTGTCCTTCTTGGATATGGAAATGGCTCTTTTGCAAATCAAACGAAATATACAACTGGCTCTTACCCACAAGCTGTAGCTGTTGGTGACTTTAACAACGACACCCAACTGGATATCGTCGTTACTAATTTTGGTGGCAACACTGTAAGTATCCTTCTTGGATATGGCAATGGCTCTTTTGCAAATCAAACGACATATTCAACTGGCTCTGACCCACAAGCTGTAGCTGTTGGTGATTTTAACAACGACAGTCGACCGGATCTCGTCGTCGCTAATTTTAATGACGACACTGTAAGTGTACTACTTCGGTATGATAGAGGAGCTCTGAAAGATAAAATTACATTTGCGCCTGCCGATGGTTCTCGTTTGCGAAGCTTTGCCATTTTTGATTTCAATAATGATAGCCTATTGGATATTGCCGTTGTCAATTATGGTACGAATAACATAGGTGTCCTTCTTGGATATAAGAATGGCACTTTTGGAAATCAAACGGTGCTCTCAACAGGCTTAAATTCTCATCCTGACTCAATCGCTATCC